TCATGTGCTGCTTAAAATTAACTATCACTATCTCATATTCATATTTAATCTTTTTCTATGTAATCTTTCTATTAAATCGTAATCTCTCATAAATGAACTATTATTCTCGTGCACTACTCTTCTCCTCCTATGTTAATCCTAGAACACATTTCTGTAGATCTTTCTTAATTTATAATTCAATTCTCTGTTGCATTTGTTATTACTAATCAATTCAATTATCGCTCTCCGCATGCATAGCGCTCGTAAACTTGTTTCTATCTCAGTTGAACTCTCCATTATTTATCTCTGACAACAACTCATTACCACTAATGGCAAATCTCGACACTGCCTAGTCTCCTTGAGTGGACGGCTTCTGGCCATCGCTCCCCGATGCACGAAGAGAGATCTTTCTATGAAGGCAATACCAGTCATGGCTACCAGTGAATATGAGGGATACCGTCTTTGTGCATATCGAAAACACACAGCTTCCTTGGTTGTCAGGTCCATCGGCGATGTCGACAAAAACATCTCAATCTGACACGCTAACTAACAAAACAGGTTTACGGCGCAACAGGGCTGACCGAAAATCTCTTGCTGAGACGATGAGATTGTTTCTAGGTAGCAGTCATTAAGATGTCCTCACCCATGGAGATGTCTTGCTGAGAGATTTTGTTTCTAGGTAGCAGGTGATGAGGATGTCTCACCATGAGTGCACAAAGGTTTGGGAGGGAAATGGATTCAGTGGGGATTGGGAAGGGGATCTTGCTTTATTTCCATCGGGAAATGAGGGTGGAGTGTTCTATCCTTGAGCCATGCCTGGGAGAGTGGCGACTGCAGGGTGGCCACTATTTCTGTGCTTGGGGAGCTATTCCTACCGGCTTTGTCTTGTAACAAAGCTTCTGTTATGGAAAATTTAATAATGTGAAAAAACAAATGACAAATATTTTTTATTAGTTATTTATAGGCTACTGAGAGAGATAATATGGAGTCTGCTCAAGGGAAACAGTCAATTACTATCTTGATGCAGCTTAATATATGACAGTTATAGACCTTGAAAAATAGGAAAGTGCCAGAAATGTGTCTACGTAAAAAGAGCTAATAGCATTGGAAAGAGGGGCAAGTAGTCTTGATACTGCACCTGAGTGTTCATGTAGCTAGGACTCGAGCCACACACACCTGGGAGAGTTGCCACTCGAGTAGGCCAAATGACTGGATTTTAGTCAACCTTTTCCTAATGGGTTACTGGTCAGGGGGTCAAGGGGAAAAAATGGAAGGGGGCATACTTAGTGATGTTCTGCAACAATTTCCAATGAAAAAGGGTTCTCAGATATAGGTGTAGAAGGTATAATGGAATTTCACAATTCTGTTTTTGATGGTAAGGCAGGTTTTCAGAAAAAAAAAGTATTCGTAGTTACTAAAGGTAAGGCAGGTTTTCAAAAAAAAAAAAAAAAGAGTATTCATAGTGGCTCTGTTACATGATGTAGAAGTTATTTTGAAAGGGAGTCTTCATTTGCAATGGAAATTTACAATTCTGTTTTTGATTGTAAGGCAGGTTTTCAGTGAAAAAAGTGACTAGTGACTATAGGTTAGGCAGGTTTAAAAAAAAAAAATAGTATTCATGGTGCTTCTGTTATGTGATGTGTTGCCACAAGTCAAGTTATGTTTTTATCATTGATATAACTCTACTCTCATTTAAGTGATTTTACATTCAAAGTTTGTATTCTTTTTTACTTTGTGTGAATACTTGTAATTATGAACAACCAGAAATGGAATAGATATAAAGTTATGCACTATATGGCAATATATTTATTTTTATAGTCAGTGAATTTTTAAGAAAAGAAATTAAATTAATGCCTCCCAAATTTTTTTCATACTGAACCATATTAAAGTTGCTTAATATCATTTACTTGCAGAACTCAAAATCAATGGTAAATGGTTCATGATCACAATATTTTGATTATTGCTGGGTGTTTTTTAAGATGTTTTTGGCTCTTTATGTTGATCTTTTGTGATGTAGATGGTTTATGAAAAAGTTAATATTACAATTAAAGAAATGTAAAAATGTAATAGCAAGCACAAGCATAGATGCACTAGTATACATATACATGCACAAGCATACACACATGCACTCACATACATGCATGCGCACGCTCACATGCACACACACACGCACGCATGCACACACACACAAGCACGCATGCAACGCGCACGCACGCACGCATGCACACACACACAAGCACGCATGCACACGCGCACGCACGCACGCATGCATGCATGCATGCGTGCATGTATGCATGCATGCACATAGATGCCCATACATACACATACACATGCCCATACACACATCCATGGACACACATGTATACAGCAACACACATTTGCACCATTTTCAGGATGGATATTAGTTGCCATAGATGCATACTAAATCAGAGGTTTCCAACTTCTTTACATTCAAGACCCTTTCTCATATCTGTGACACATGTGTGACTCCCTTACATCAGCTGTTCTATTTATAGTTATCTAGTGCCATATTTTCAAGCAAGGAAGATATTCTTCAGTCTAAAAAAATTATTTATCAAATTGTGCAAAATTCCTGTGGGGGACATGGTTTCAGTATAGTTATGGTATAAAATAGCTATATCTGATACATGTAATATTTAGGTGTATCTGTATATAGATATAAACATGTTATGTTTAAAGTAGATATAATGTATATGTGTATATTTGATTTTTTAATGTATAAAAGGGATTATAGAGTAGACTAAGTTAAGAATAAGAACGATGTTGATATTGATACATAATTCACCCTTCTAAGACATGCTTGTCTAGAAGAGACAGAATTTATATTAAGTCTTGTTCATTTGACCTTTGCTTTAATTTAGAAAAGAAAAAGTAGTTACATACTCAACAAAAAGTTTGGAAAGGATTTCTAAGTACCCTCACTGGTGAAGTGCTTTCTCAACTTAGTAATAAAGCTTGAAATATTAAGTAAAGTTAAGCAAGGACAGGCAAGTGTTTGGCCCATGGTAGGGCACATGAAAACTCATCTTAGTAAACAGGATATTGGCTTATGGTGTGATGTGGCTTCAACCTGGGTAGACTATCATATTATTCAATATGATATGGTAGCATGTCTCCTATTAGGGTTAATAAGTTGGACATTAACAGTACATGTTTAAGAGGTGCCCTGTTCATCGTGCCTTATATTTTATCTCCTGAATGTTTATAAACAAGAACTTTTACTTTGCTATTTTGATAAGAAATCAACCAAAAAGACCAAATAATTGAATGGTTCATGTCTGGCCTATCCAATTATTTCAAAGTGTTTGCAAGAGTGCATATATAAGAGCTCTTATAGTTGGGTGTTTCCACCCTTTTCATTGTTATTTGTAAATGTAGTATGGCCCTTTGAAATAATTAGATAGCATTCACACAGTAAAGTTGAACCAGAAAAGAGAATTGCAGCAGAAATTACCTGTATTTATAAAGATGTGTTGTAATGAAGTCCTCAATTCATGTGATTGATAACATCCCCAGCATATGTTGTAATTGTGTTAATCCTTTGGATTTGGTTGTGTCACGGAAATCATGGTGCGGAAAATATGGGCAGTGGGTTATGTAAGTAGCCAACATCCTGGGCGCGCGTGAACACCCGTGAGCAGTGACAAGACTCTGTGCCTCCCTTTTGCGAAGTTTTGTGCAAAAATTTTTTTTAGCATTTTTGCCATTTTCCAATGTCCATATTTGTCTTTTGATTTGCTTTATCCAGATGGTAATAGCTTATTTTCCTTGCACAGACTCTATATCATCTCTTTGTAGTAAGTCAGAGCAAGAAAAAAAAATATATATATATGGAACATTTGGTTATCTGAATCATATATCATATTTTTTCATAATTTTCAATTTTGCTTAACCACTTGCTGCCGGGTGGCATGTACATGACATGGCTGTTGTGGACCGAAAAACGGATGGCATTGTATCAGGACCATTGTTTTACTCCGATTGTAGTGGTTTCATTTATATGGTAAAGATTTTAGGCAATTCCACCTATAATGAAGGTAAACCTTCAAAATTATAATATTTTTACAAATGATAGCAAATTATAGGCTTTTAGGTGCCAAATGTTGCTCGTAAACTACCAAAAGAGCCAGGCGCAAACAAGGGAAACTGCTGTTGCGCGCCAACAATCCCATTATTACATCCACTTGCCAAACTAAGTGCCTAATGAATCAAATCGCACTCCGCGAGGTTTGTGCACTTGTGGCGAGTCGTTTCTGTCACCCTGGCCTCTGCTCATGACGGCAAATTCGCGTCACCCAGCCCTCGGCCATTTTGTCAGATTATGGCACATTCACGTCACCTGGCCCTTGAACCAGATTTTTCCATTACGGGACTGTAATATCATCCGGATTGTAGGGATTAATTGTTATTAAGTTTCTGTTTGGGACTTGCAGAAAGAGAATGAAAAAAATATAATTAATTTGTGTTTTTAATGCTGAATAGATATAGTATTTTTGAAATGAAAGCTTAAAAAAATGGGTTTATTAAAAGGAATTTTAGGACAGCGACTACCCGAAAATTATATATAAACCTTTTATTCTATTAGTATTTTAATGCATGTTTACAAGAAATTTGGAACAACTCATTTCCCCAATGTTAAATTTGTATTTATTATCAACTGTATCAAGGAACAGTAGGTGTTGATATATGCCTTTCTTGCATTATCAGGTCAGAGAAATGTTTTGTGTCAGTCATATGATATAGCTAGACCTTTATTATATGTTTTAAAGGTTAGATAAGGTTGGCATTCATAATATATTGCAGAGTCATATAGCCTTTTACGACATAACGTATGAAAAGAGAAAGAGATTGAAAGATTATATTGTAATCTCTTCAGTAGGTTTCATTTACCTCTGCAATATTTCCTATTTGTTAGGTTTAATTACCCGTGCAAACCCCATTTCATCAAGACACGAAGCCCCTTGCCTGGCCGATATTTCATAGAGATCTTCTATTTTCAGAGTGTACAATTTGAAAACACAAAGTCCAAGGCAACAGCTGCTATAAGCGAGGAGGAAGTTCCCAATAGATGGGTAAGTAAAGTCTTATGACCCTTTGAACTCTGCCAATTGAGGGTAACGCAAAGTTTATTTTGCCTTATTACCCTTTTAGAAGTAGAAGATCTTTTTCTTTTGTACTTTGAAGTGTGAATTCTGTTAATTATGAATAACCTGAAATGTAGTACTCTTTCATCGTTTTTTATTTTTTTTATTAATATTATTATTATTTTTTTTTTTCCTGTAAAGAGTGACACATGGTGATTTTTCATATCTGATATCTATGAAATGCCTTCATTATCATTTACTTCAGTTCTGTGTAAACAACCTTAACACACTAACATAGTATATTATATACTGTTCACTGTCATTTTTGTTTTGTTTGTTTACACAAATGGATCCATAACTGTCTAGTCATTGAAGAATTAATTAATGAACCTACCTGTTTAAACCTGTTCTTGACTATTGAATAAAGGTTCATATGTTTATTACTATTAGCATTGTTTGAAGTCTTATCATAATAATGATAATGTCAATGACAATGATGATGGTTCTAATGAATGTGATAAACAAGTGAGGCCAAGTAGGCAGACTAAGTTACTTATGTGACAAGAGCTTGTGAAGCAATCTATTTGTAAAAAAAAAAGAAAAGAAAAAAAAATAATGTGGACAGTGACTTTATATGACAGGTAAAAGTATCAACTCTCACCCCTGTGCTGCTAGACTGAGAGTGGTATCCGTCATATCTAATTGCAACACTGAATCTGTAACAGTAAATGAATAATCACAATATATTTTCAAGGTAAAGAAAAGCTTTTGAGGAATATGGATTCTTGCAACACATAGCAACTCTTAGGTGTCATTTTGATGTGCCTGGCAGCATCAGGGTAAAAGTTGTTTCTGTTGTCCAGGAAGGAGACAAAAAATAAAAAATAACAGCAGAGTTTTCTCTTTTTCCAACATAAGTTATCATTTTTACTAGTGTATTATTATTTGCTTGTACATATATTGTAATTATCATGGTCATTACAATGATGATGATTGTTATTGTTATTGTTAGTATTGTTTTTAATATCCTCAACCGTATCTGAATATCATCTTTTTTTTTATTGCCATAGTTATTATGAATATGATTGTATTTTTTTCTCATTGTTCCTTTATGTACATTTATAGTTTATATACTTATATAATTACCATTAATATTCTCTCTTTCTCTCCTTCCCCAGTTGCAAAATGAAGCCAACTTAGACAACGACTTTATCCGCGAATATTTTCAGTCCCAGCAGGCCCTCTACAGGCAGCAAATTGAAGCTAGAAGACAGTACAGAGGTTTGTGATTTTCGCTTTCTCGCTGAAGAGGATCATAATAGACAGTGACTTTCAAATGATTCCTTTTTAGTTTATCTCTAATGCACGCACTGTTTTGCTACGTTGTACTGAAAAGGATGTTAGTTTGATTTGTATTTTTACCACTTTCGTGTATTTTTTTTGCATTTCTTTTTAAAAGATCGAAGTAGATGCTTTTGTTTCTAGTGTACTTGAACACAATTTTAGTCCCTTTTGTGGTAGTTTAAAATCATTATTTTCCTTTAAAATGTTTTAAGTATTTAGGCAGTGTAATTTGAGTCATTTTTACATATATTTTAGACTTTGATATGTTTGTAGTTCTGTGTATCATCTTGTTAAAATTTTCTCAGAGATAAGAAACCTTTGATTTATGTACTGTGTACTCTGCAGTTTCTCTTTGTTTATACTTTAAACAAAATTCAGCTCTCCCCAATACAAAATATAATGCAGTGAACCTTGTTTTTCATAGAAACCAGTGGAGAAGGGGCAGCCCCGTCAACTCCGTCAGCGGCTCTGCCCTCAGTCCAACAGGCGGCTCTTGGGGGCCCTCAGCAACCAGGCAAAGCCACTCCCTCATCCCACAGTACCCCTCCAGCGACTTCATCAACAGCAGCAGCTGGAGGAGGAGGCACAGCCAGTGTTGGCCGAGTGCACACACATCCTGTGAGCAAAACTACTCCAGATTTAACTGCGAAAGCAAGCTCAGGTCCTGCTCACAAGCCATCCCCAAGCCCCTCTGTCAGAACCTCCTTAGCTGCTGGCGTAACCTCACTGTCATCTGGCGGACAAGCACCAGCGGCTAAAGAGGGTGCTGCAAAGGTTTATGCAAACACATTGGTTAGTACTGCACCTCGTATAACTAGTGGTGAAACCTCGGCACCTTCGGCCACTCCAACACCACCTAGAGAAAAGCCACCGACACAACTCACCCTCAAGGTTAGTTTTTATGAACTTGAATTTTATCATTGTTGTTCTTCATTTTTTGTGCAGTAAGTCAGCAATTGAGAAGTGCATTATTGTACCAGAAGCATTTGTTGATCAATTTTGCCCTATGCTGTCGTTAGTGTCCCTTTATAATGCTCTTCATGTGTTTGCAGGTAAAATTAAAGAATGATGCAACAGCAGTAACCACCCCACAAACACCCTCAACATCATCAAGTTCCAGTAGACCTAGTAGAAGTTCAGCACGTGCTGCTCGAGAGCTCAGTAGAGTCTCGCTTGAAGACTCAGAGGAGGAGGATGACTCTGAGGGAAGGGAGGAGCGTCACCCACCTGTGAGGCGTTCCAGGAAGCGCTCAGCGCGGCATTCACAGACCCCAGAGGATCCTGACTTTGTTGCAGCTGGCACTAGCCACTTGAGCAGTCCCCCGAGCAGTGATCTCAAAGACAGAGTGCCGTCTCTTAGGATTAAGTTACCTGAACCTGTGCCTAATGTGAATTTAAGTGTTTCAACAACAGTTGATGAAAAACCAAAGAAAAGAATAGAGAGTGTATCTATTAATAGGAAAGAACCTAATAGTTTATTGGATGCAAAGTGCAGACGCCCTGTTCATAGCATTAGGAAGCACGTGAATGACCCTCCACAAGACATTGAAGGCTCGCTCAACAGAGAGACCTTAGTACCTGATGTAAGTGTTAGATCCGCCGGTGATAATCTGAAAAATCCATGTCTTCAGGAAGGACCGAAACCCCCAGGGAAAAGCGGAGGCAGTGTTTGTGATTCCAAGAACTTGAAAGATACATTGGTCAAACCTGATTCTCCTGTGCCATTAGACTGGTTGAAAAGATCGCTAAGGACTAACCCTAAAAAACACGAACCCAGTGAGGCCGGTTCAAATTCACAGGGACCAGACTATGCAAGTTTACAACCAACGGTTTCGCTGAGACGTATAGAGGCTGTACCCAGCACAGAGAGACAAATTGCCAAAGATGAACCAGTAGTGAGTCCTGTTAGCTTGAGTTGGAAAAGCCCAAGTGCTAGTGAGAGTCAAGAACCAGAAAGGAAAGCAGAAAGAGAAAGTTCTACAAGGAGAGAGAATGCAAAAAATCAGTTGGAAAGCAAAACTGGAAATAAACTAAGTGCTGAGGAAAGATTAGAGGCTTACAGTTCCATTACTGTATCAAAAGTTGATACTCTAAAAAGAAAAGAACCAAGTGATTTGAATACCAGTAAAGAAGTTGAGCCGTCAACATTAAGAACACTCCTTACAGGTGAAAATAAAGATATTGTTTTAGTAGCAAACAAAAATAAATCTACAGCTGTTGATGCACAAGACCAGCCTGACCAGAAGCATTTGCCCAGTTTGAAAAGTCCTCAACAGAGATCAAAAAGCACAGAAGACCCAGGTGGTAGTGCATTAAGTTTGGTAATAGTGCCCCCAGCAGAGAGTTCGTCCAGCACCAAACAGAGTGTAGGAAGAACCGTTGGGGAAACTCAAGTTAAAACTGTGATATACGAGTCCAGTGATCCAGAATGGAAAACTGATAGTACAAAGCCACATTCTGATTGCAAATTCTCAAAAGAAACTGCCGAAAAGAAGGAACCTGACAAACAAAGTCAGGTTGCTCAAGACGTCACTCAAGGGCCAAATGTTAAAAGGGACCCCAGTGTTTTAGAGGAAAATTCAAAACCAGGAGTTGAATGCAGCACTTCAGCTGGAACAGCAGTTGCATCTGCACACAAGGCAGCTAGTCTACCAACTGGTCCACTCAAAACAAAGATCTGGGAAAAGTTGCTGACAACAGCACAGAAGAAAGGAGACGTTTCCAAAGACACCCCAAAAGACTCGACCAAAAAGGAAGAAAAAGAAGAAACACCTCTTCAAGTTCAGCAAACTGACCAGCACATAAAAACAGAAACTGATGTAAAGAAAGAGTTTGATAAAGATCAACAGACGACAGATGAGACTTGCTCTGGCCAAGGAACTGAAAGCTTAGAGAAGTCAAGCGAACATCACGCTCAAGCCACAGATGTGAAGGCTGTTGTGGTAACCAACACCCAGATAACAGAAGCTGTGCACAAACCTGGTGAGTTGCTAGAAAAAAGCACCAGGAAGGCAAGTCACAAGAGTGAGAAAGGTGATGCTGCCCAAGAAACCAGCACAAAGGAAGAACTGACAGAAAGTTCATTGTCTGGAAATCAGCAGGTGCCCCAGAAGGATACCCTTGCTTCAGAAACCAAGAGGGAAGTAGTTCCTGAAACCCCAAAAGTCCCATTAGTAAATACACTTGGTAAACCAGCACCACCTGTTGCAAAATCAAAATTGATTCCAAATTTAAAAACACCTGTTACTGTTTCAGCTGCAAGTGAAACTCCAGCCTCTACAAGTTGGAGAAAAGAAACTGTTTTTAAGATAGAGGAGAGTGAACCAGCTCTAGAAGAGGAAGGCAAGACTGGTGCCCCATCTAAACAGGAAAAGTTAGGGGAACCTACCAAGGAACCTAAAAACGATAGCACAGATATCCAGAGCCATAAAAAAGAAACTGTTGAACCAGTTACTGATAAGCCTGTTAAGGAAGAGCAGACTCTTACAGACACAACAGATTCAGAGAAAAGAGAGCAGTCTGATAAAGTTCAGACAAGCAAGAGCAAATGGAATAAAGCCTCCAAAGAAAGTCCAGAGCAGCAGGAATCAGACCCAGAGAAGAAGCCATTCTTAGAATCACAACCTGACCCCACACCACCACCAGTTGCAAGCAGATCACAGGCTGATAGCAAGAGCTGGTTACAACCTGATTCTAAAGTTGAACCTCTAGAAAAGACAACTAGTGTTGCATCAACCAGGATTTTGGAAGACAGAGGAAAGTTTATCTCTTGCCCAGCTGATAAAAAGGATCAGCAGGTTACCCCATCTGTAGAGAGCAAGGAACTGCCTACAGATACCAGCTTAAAAGAAATAGGAGAAGCAGAGAAAAAGGCAGAGAGTCAGCCATTTGGCCTCAATCTAAACAAAGTAAATGTCTCAAGCAGTGAGAGAGAGAGATCTCAGAGTGTAATTAGTACAGAAGGAAGGTGTAATGAAATACCTGTGTCAAGCCAACACAGATTTTTAGCATTTGAAACTCCTAAGAAAGAAGGAACTAATGTGAGAGAGCTAACAAGTATTGAGAAAGATCGCACACATCAAGATACGACTGCAAGTCCAAAGGATCCATCTGTTACAAGTTTAACTACTGAATATAAAGAAGATCCAACTACATCCAGTAAAGTAACATCTTGTGAAACAGATTCAGTTACAAAAGTCAAAGTAGAGGATAGGAAAAAAGAACTAGTCTCAACTTCCAATCATACACATACTGAGAGTGAACACTCGCTCCTAAATAAAGTTTCAGGTGTGAAAGATCTTCCAGTTTCTAGCGAATTAAGGACTTCTGAAAACACTACAGTTTCTTCAAGTAAAGATCTTCTAAAGAGAGAAGAACCAGTCCCAGCAGAGGAAGTTGATCCCCCTAAGAGAGAAGAACCAGCTCCAGCAGATAAAAGTGATCCACATCTGACAAGCAAAGTAGTAAGCAGCAAGAAAGAACTAGCACTATCAAGCAAACTTTCAGTAATCAAAGCTGCAAGTAGTGGGAAAGATCCATCATCTATAATAGAAGTTTCATCTTGTGTGACAGATTTCACTACTGAAGAGTCCAAAAGTGAAAAGAAAACAACCCTCACTTCAGAAGTTTCTTTTGAGAAAGACCCAACTACAACATTTGCCAGTTTGAGTAGTGAGAAAGAATCGCCTCTGACAGGCAACGTTTCCAGCAGGGAGAGACAGCCAGAAGTTTTTACTAGTGATGGAAAAACTTATGTTGCAACAGAAGTTTTAAGTCAAGAGGAAAAAACATCTGTCTTGTCAGAAGTTTCTGTTGAAAAGAAAGAGCGTGCTTTCACAGGTGAACCCCAGATCTGTAAGAAAGAACCACCAGTTATACCAGAAGGCCTTAGCAGTGAGAAAGAACCATCAGCGACATCTGAAATTCACAGTACAGTTCTCAGTCAGGATAAGAAGACCACTGTCACATGTGAAGTTTCCAGTGATCAGAAAGAATCACTCCCCACAACTGACATTTCCAGCGGTGAAAAAGGACCAGAAATCACATCAGCTGTTCCTAAGAGTGAGAAAGAGCCATCTGTAACACCAGAATTTATCACTAGAGAAGAAAAACCAACACACGCACCTGAAGTTCCCACTGTTGAGAAAGAACCAGCTGAAACCTTTAAAACTTTCAGTAGCAAGGAAGAACCAGCTGACAAACTTGAAGTTCCCAGTAATAAGAAAGAATTAACTGGAACTGAAACTCCAAGTAATGAGAAAGAATTGACTGTTGCAACTGAGGCTCCTATTAGTGAGCAAGAATTAGCCACAAAATCTAAAGCTACCACTAGTGAGAAAGAACCATTTGTAAAATTACAACCAGCTGTAAAATCTAAAGCCTCTACCAGTGAGAAAGAACCAGCTGTAGAATCAAAAGCTGCCAAAAGTGAAAAAGAATCACCAGGTGAGAAAGAACCAGTTGTAAAATCGAAGACTACCACTAGTGAGAAAGAGCCATCAGTAAAATCTGAGGCCTTTGCTAGTGAGAAAGAAACAGCAGTACAAGTGCAAGAATCCCCAAGTGACAAAGAACCAGCTGTAGAATTGAAAACTGCCTCTAGTGAGAAAGAACCATCTGTAAAAGTTGAGGCTTCAACTAGTGAGGAAGAACCATCAGTAAAATCTGAGGCCTTTGCTAGTGAGAAAGAAACAGCAGTACAAGTGCAAGAATCCCCAAGTGACAAAGAACCAGCTGTAGAATTGAAAGCTGCCTCTAGTGAGAAACAGCCATCTGTAAAAGCTGAGGCCTCAACTAGTGAGGAAGAACCAAGTGAAAAAGAACCAGTGGTAGAATCAAAAGCTTCTTCAAGTGAAAAGGAGCTAGTGACTAAGAAAGAGCCAGCTGTCACATCGGAAGTTCCCAGCAGCGAGAAAGAGCCACATTCTGTAATCACATCTGAGAACACTCCAAAAGAACTTCTCACCGATAAGGAAGATCCAACTGCAACCTGTAAATCATTCAGCAATAAGGAAGAATCAGCTGAAGACAGTAAAAAGAAGGAACAAAGCGAAACTG